CCAGACACTGGTCAATAAACTTCACGATATCTTTCTTCATGTTGATCCACCAAAAATTCTCTCTCACATCCCCGTACATTTTAGTGCTTCCTGGATGGATAGAGAATCTCGTACTATGAGCTTCCTGCAATATCTCCTTTTTCAATCCCGAATCATCAGGAACGCATAGCCGACCATGAAACCTCAATGACCCATCCGCATGGATACTGAAGTCCTCGTCTCCCAGCTTCTACTCCTTCTCTAATCTTTCCCAACTGAGGATCCCCATTCTGTTTAGCCTTAATTCTGTCAATCAACATTGGTTGTACTTAAAGATTAGCTAATCGAGCACCAAGCTTGTGTACCAATACTTCCAAGTCCAACTTCCTCATTTCCTCAAGAATAGGCTTCTGAGAAGTGAGCAATGTAGCCATGTTTCCATAAAACTTACGACTTAGGGCATCGGCTACCACATTTGCCTTACCTGGATGGTAATTGATAGATAGGTCGTAATCCTTTAAGAGTTCTAGCCAGCTCCTCTGTCTCATGTTCAATTCTTTCTGAGTAAAGATGTACTTCAAACTCTTATGATCAGTAAAGACTTCACATTTCTCACCATACAAGTAGTGCTGCCATATCTTCAAGGCAAACATAACCGCTGCTAATTCCAAATTATGAGTGGGATAATTTCTCTCATGTACTTTCAACTGTCTAGAGGCATAGGCTACAACTTTACCATTCTGCATAAGAACACAACCTAAACCTTCCTTAGATGCATCACAGTAGATTGTGAAGCCATCAGTACCTGAAGGCAAGGTCAATATAGGAGCCGATACTAACCGTCTCTTCAATCTTGGAAACTGTTCTCACACTGATCTGACCAAACAAATTTAACTCCCTTTTGAGTTAGGCGAGTAAGTGGACTAGCAAGTTTAGAAAATCCTTCTACAAACCGCCTATAGTAGCCAGCTAGACCAAGAAAACTTCTCACTTCAGTGACATTGGTAGGGCGACTCCATTGGACAACTGCTTCAACTTTCCTCGGGTCAACCGAAATGCCATCCTTCGAGATTATATGGCCTAAGAATTCTATATGATCAAGCTAGAAATCACACTTACTGAATTTAGCAAACAACTTCTTTTCACGCAAAGTTTGCAACACAAACCTCAAGTGTTGTTTATGTTCCTCCAAACTCTTCGAATACATCAAAATATCATCAATGAATACCACAATAAACTTATAAAGATACTGTCTGAACACCCTATTCATCAGATACATAAAAGCAGCAGGAGCATTTGTTAATCCAAAAGGCATGACAAGAAATTCATAATGGCCATACCTTGTCCTGAAAGCAGTTTTTGGTACATCATCTGCCTTTAACTTCAACTGATGATACCCAGAACAAAGGTCAATCTTAGAAAATATTTGAGCTCCCTGAAGTTGATCAAACAAATCGTCAATCCGGGGCAAAGGGTATTTATTTTTTATCGTCACCTTATTAAGTTCTCGATAATCGATGTAAAGCCGCATACTACCATCCTTCTTTTTCACAAAAAGAACCGGAGCTCCCCAAGGCGAAACGATGGGTCTAATAAAACCTTTATCCAACAACTCCTACAGCTGTGCTTTCAATTCCTTCAATTCAGACGGTGCCATCCGATATGGCGCCTTAGAGATAGGCGTAGTGCCAGGCATCAAATCAATACAAAAATCAATCTCTCTATTAGGAGGCAAGCCAGGCAAATCTTCAGGAAACACATCTGGAAATTCTCTAACAATACGAATATTTTCGAACTCTACAACATCTTTACTTGTGTCATTTACATAAGCCACATAACCACAACAACCTTTCCTCAAAAGCTTCCTCACTTGCAAAGCTGATATCAATCTTGGCAAGGTGCCTTTACAACTTCCTGAAAAAGAAAATTCGGGTTGATTTGGAAGTCGAAAGACAACTTTCTTAGAATAGCAATCAACAGTTGCATGATATGTGGATAACCAATCCATTCCCAAAATAACATCGAAATCCCGTATATATAACTCCACCAAATCGACAGGTAATACTACATCATTAATCCGGAGCAAACATCTCTTGAACACACGGTTAGCAATCAGGAAATTTCCAGTAGGAGTATCAGCATACATTTCATCCTCTAGAGGCTCAGGCAACACATCAAGTTTCCTTGCGAAGTCAATGGCAATAAAGGAATGCGTAGCACCCGGATCAAACAACGCATACGCATATTGAGAGGCAATATAAATATTACCTGCAACAACTGCGTTGGACGCCGCCGCATCCTCCTTCATTATCGCAAAAACTTTCCCAGTCGTCTTTTGCCTTTCCTGATTTCCTTGGGGCCTACCAGCTGAAGATGCAGTTTTCCTCATAGAACAAGCAGATGCTAGGTGCCCAGGCTGCCCACAAACAAAACACACTCTACTATCTCCAGGGATATCCTTCTGTGTAGGACAATCATGCGCCATATGTCCTATTTTCCTACAAAGGAAGCAAGCTCCTATCTTGCTATAACAAGGACCGCTATGACGCTTCCCATAAGTAGCACAAGGGCCCAGATTACTCTGAATCTTGGGCCTTCCTAGCTAATTGAAATCCCTTCACTTTTTGCTACTACTGGTCCGACTATCATGATAGTCAGTGGGCTTAAACCTCTTGTACTGAGGTGCACCCTGTGCGCCGCTCTCCAACATATCTTGCTCCACCCTAATCGCTCGATCCAAGACATCTTTGTACGTAGTCAGTACAAAAGGCGTGAGAATACTGCGACTATCAAGGCGAAGCCCTCGCTGAAAGTGTTTTGCCCTCCGCTTTTCACTAGCCACGAAGCCTTCCTCGAATCTACTGAGCTGATTAAAGCGGGCTGCATACTCCATAACTGACGAGCTACCTTGAGATACATTTACAAAGTCACTCCTCATCTTCGCTTGGAATGACTCGGGCAAGAATTGGGCATTGAATGCTTCAGTGAAGTCTTTCCAGGAAATGATTACATCAGTACCTCCAAGGGCGGGTCTAGTCCCTTCCCACCAACATATAGCTTCACCTTCCAAATAACGAGTGGTAAAGTTGACCTTTTGATTGTCACGAACATTTTTCCGCCCTAAAGATTTCCTCTATGCTTCTAATCCAACCATCGGCCTTAAGAGGATCAAACTTCCCATCAAACTTAGGTGGATCCGCCTTTCTGAATTGTGCGAAGGTGCATGAGTCAGTGGTGCCACCTTCACTTAATTCCTTCGCCTGACGATACCAATGAATCATTGCTTGAGTGAAATCAGTCGGGGGATTAGGCTCTTGGGGTTCTTCCCTAGCTTCTCGTGAGTCAGAACTCATTTCATATTGATCCTCCAGTCTCCTTTTTAAAGTCACACCTTGAGAACGTTGAGGTATATCTCTAGTGTCGGAAGTAATAACTCGCTTGCCTTTATTATTCTTAAGAAGCGAGGTAAGTGGCTCCGAGTCAGAACTCATGGTCGCTTGTATTCAAGAATGAGCTACTACTTAGTATATAAAAGACTAGAGCAAAAAATCTATCACACAATCTCACAACGTCCCATATCTATACTCCAAAAATCAAAACCTACGCTCTGATACCAACAAATATCACACCCCTAACTCAACAAGAATAAGCGCATGACACGGCTATCCTTTCACCAAAGGACGTAGCCTAACATAACCAAAACTCACCTGATATCAAAATATATGCATCTACATATATACATGATATAAAGTTTATTTGGTTATAATATCGGAGTTAACTACAATCCATCAAAAGGCCAAAAGCATAACCAGCAACAGGCTAAAACTTAAACTCCACATCTATGTGTAACTCGTACCAAAAAGTCCCAACTATCAAAATGTCCTCCCCAACACCGGAACTCTCACGCCTACTAGCGTCTCGGTGAAGAACCTGAAAAACAAGTAAGATGAGAGGAATGAGCTACCACGGCTCAGTGAGTAATACATTTCTTCTAAGTAGATCGAGCACCCACTATGCACATGGTTATAAGACCAAACGAAAGCTCAATTAACCAACTCCAACATATCACAAACTTCAAGGTCAAAATACGTTATATACCACTTTAAACATAACCTTTTCACAATAGGAAATCTCGTTTTAATTAATAATATCAAAGAAGAAACCAATGATCAATTCCATTGGCCAATCTCGTCGAAAGCACACGCCAATGGTCCATTCCATTGGCCAATCTCATGCTCAGAAATCTAAGTATGATCACGGATAACGCCCCGTGAAAGGCGACCAAGATTCCCCCCTTGACAAGGTCTCCACCTACTATAAGCCGGTGGCTCGACCCACAAGGATATCCTAGACTAGTGTGCGCATACCCACAATGTGACATTTCGAGTTTCGGCCCATTTTTGGGATTTATAAAACGTGTATTTCGTCAGTGTGCTTATAGTAAAATCTCGCCCAGAACTGATCACTCTCGGGTTATTTTTAAATTTGAGATTTCGCTATAATCGCATTTAATCGAATTTGGCCGTTATTTAGAGCCTGAACTTTGGTGTCGAATTTCTGGGAGTTTTGTGATGAATTTAATTGGACGGTGTCGATATTATTGTGGCCAGCCTCGATATTGCCCGGGATAAGTGAAAAGTGAAATTTGGACCGGGTGCGGATTTGGACTAGTAGACCTCCCTCGTAGTGTGTTTTATTTATTATCTTTGGCCCTTTTTCCTAATTTATAATTAGGGTTTTTCATGGTCCGTTGGATCATTTTCGGATTTGAACGAGGATCGTCGGATCGCACTCAAGTGCGTTTGACTTTCTCTCTCTCTCTCTCTCCTCCCCTTCTGCCGCACCTCTGCCCCATGCATGCACGTCCCCTCCTCCCTTTTCTTCCGCTCACGTTTCCTCTCTCTCTCTCTTCCTTTCTTTCTTTTCTTTTTCTTTCTTCCTCTTCTCTTCTTCTTCTTCCTCGTCTCTGGTCGCGACTGCTGTTGCTTCCTTCTTCTGTTGCTCGCTTGCCCGACCGCCGCTCACCCCAGCCACTGCTCGGCGGATCGTCCACCTGGCGCCGCCGCCTCGCCAGCCGCCGCACCGTCGCTACCACAAGCCCCCAACTCTCCTTCTCCTTCCCTTGTTTTCCTTCCCCGGCCCGAGCCCGTCCTTGCGCAGCTCAGCTCACCGCCGTGTCCAACGCGGCCAGGCTCCGCCGGCCAGCTCGTCTGGCCTTGCCCCGCCGCCCGCGACACCACTGTGCCGCCTCTGGCCACCGCGCGACCATCCCCCTCCCCCTGTTTCTCTCCTCCCCGTCTTCTCCCCTGTTTCGGCTCCGCCTCGTCTAGCCGCCGCGCGCCGCCGTTTCGGCTGCCACCACTGCTCTGCCCGCCACCACCCAGTTCCCCCAGTAGCTTCGCCGCCACCAGCAGACGCCGTGCTCGCCTGGACAGCCCAGGCCACCCCAACTCAGTCTTGGCCGGACTGTCCCGGCCGTGGCCAAGCCTCCGCCACCCATTCGTGTCGTCCAGCCAATCGGCTAGCCAGCTCGCCGGCCAGCTAGCCCAAGCCGCTACCCAGTCGTGGCCGGACAGCCTAGCCCGTTACCCAGCCGTGCCGAGCTCGCCTAGCCCGCTGCCCAACCGTGCCCAGCCGTTGCCCTTGCCGTGGCCGAGTGTCCCAGGCCGTGGCCGAGTGCCGCGCCGAGCTTGGCCGGCCATTTTGCCTGTCGCCCCTCGCCCGCGCCGAGTCGTCACTGTTCACCCGGGCCATTTTGAGTCCGTGTGGATTTTTCCAGAGCCAAACTTAGGTAAGTGACTTCCTAATCCTTACTTAGGGCTATGGGTATTTTTAGACTTGTTTAGCGATTAGAACGGGTAGATTATGGGCTGTTATGGTTGAATTGCTATACTAGACTGTGTGGGTTGAATATGGTTGAATTGTAGGGTGAATTGAGATAGTTGTGGGGGCTTAATTGTGGTTGAATTTGGTGGGTCCAATGGTCGGCTTGTCGTAGTGTTTGTGGATGATTTGATGATTGATTATGGTCGACTTGAATGTCGGATTGGTGAGCTCGTGGTTTGGAATTAGGATGGTTTTGGATGCATATTAGTGGCTAATGTTGGTGGATCAATGATTGGCTTGTTGTGGCATTCGTGGGTGGATTTGATGTTCGTATGTGGCTGGTTTGTCGTGGTTCTTGTGAGTGCAATTTGATGCTTGACGGTAGCCGGTTTGTGATGGATCATAGGTTGAATATGACTGGGTCAAATGTTGGAATTGTGGGCTAAAGTGGCAAGCACATTATTTGAAATTGAGTATGTGCAATGTGTTAGAATGATGGTTGTGCAATGTGGCTTGCTTGTGATGCTTTACGAATTGAGTTTGATACTTGCATGGATTGATTGGGATGATTGGCAATCGAGTGTATTAAGATGTGGTTTGAATATGTGATTGGCATGGAATCGATTGAAGCATATGACGTGTGTGCCTGTCCGAATAGCCTGAGGCAGGATAGACTCGATGCGTGTTTATGCGAGTCGTGAGAATGGGCCTGAGGCGTGTTTACGCAGGCAGTGTGAAAGAACCTGGGAGGTCGTGAGAAAGTTGGCTGGACCACGCATGTTACATAGTGTTTGATTATGTGGTGAATAGTGCTAGGCATGGTATGGGACGTGCCCAAGTGGTTTTACCTTATAATCGAGACACGCACGAGTGTTGTTGTATGATGCATGGGAAATTTCATTGTGTGCTCTGAATATGAGTTATGCTGGATGCATTGATGTGATTTGACCATTATGCAGAGTTGGTGTGTAAATGGAGGTGAGGTATGTATGTTTATGTGAGTTCTAGTATGTCGATTGTTAGATTGCATGTTGAGACTCGTCTGGGTACGCATTGGCCTAGGTGGGGTTTAAGGTGTTGCTTATTGAGACTCGTTCTCACAGTTATTATATAACCATTTTCAGATCCGCGATCGTGATTGATTGGAGACGCCACCAGGGTATCTCGGGGATGGACGACGGGTCAAGTTACCCCATATTTTGTGTGCCCCCTTTTTATAGAGGAGTTAACCTTACAAACCACCGCCCTATTTTGACAATTGTGGTTTAAGTTAGTAGCCTGGGTTGTTGTTGTGTATTTGTGAATGCTGCAAGTGATGCCGAGTATGTTATGTATTTACTTGGTTTGCGTTATTGTTACCCCTTTGTCATAATTTATTGTCTGGGTTGTTTTAAATTCGCTTCCGCTTGCATACTCGTGTGAGTGTTTCTTTTGGGTCGGCGACACGTCCTGGGACGTCACGTTCAATACGACCGTGGAAGGGGTGTCGTGAGCCCATTGGGGTTCCGGGCGTGATACCCCCGTTGATTTGGTATCAGAGCAAGGTCAGCTCGATCCAAGTTGGTCGAAGCCTAGAGTGATAAGGAGCGATGACTTAGGGGGTAGTCAGTTAGGGAGACTCGTGTGCCATGCGTAGCCCAGACTGTTTGATTGTGGTTGTTGAGTGATCTTATGCATTAATGTGTGAGGTGCAGGTGCGTCAGAACTTGAGGTAAGTGCACGAACTTTGTTGGTTATGATTGGCCGTTGTTTGTGATTGGCTGCCTGCTTAGTGAATTGTTGTTGCGATTCACTGCCTAGGGCTTTAGACTGGTATAGTTGGCCTAGGTCTTTAATTCCCGAGGGGAATTATAACGGAGGTAAGTGAGTGGTGTGAACCCCGTGAGTTTGAGCGGTCGAGGTCGAGGTCGTATTGGTCCATGCAAGTTGGAGTTGCGAGAGGATCCCAGAGTGGATGGAATTCTAAGGGCACTCGAAGAAGTTGGAATTTTAATGGGATTGATGGGAACCAAGGTTAAGGGTAAGTTAATGCGTAAATCAGATGGATGCAATAACTGGTTGAGTAATTTTTGTGAAATAGAAACCCCCAAAGTTTCATGGGAAAAGTGACCCAGAGGCTACATCACTTTGGGATATAAGAGTTGGAAAAAAAAATTTGAAGTATGGATTACGATGATATTCTTGGACGGGTTTGGAAGGATGAGTGTTGCTTGGAAATTTTAGATTTTGTAAAGAACCGATGTGATTTGTTTTTGGGAGATGTTGGATTGAAATTGGATGGATTGAACTTTGTCTTTGAGGTATAGAAAGATAATTATTTTGTGGCTAACTAGTTGGTTGAGGAAATAAGGCTAAAGGACATAGCCGAGGTGTATAATTTTCTCGATGTCTTTCCTTAGGAATTGCCGGTATTGCCACCTGATAGGAAAGTTTGTGGTTGAATTAGCCCCAGGGACAGAACCGATCTCGAAAGTGCCCTATAGGATGGCACTGTCGGAATTGGAGGAATTAAAGGTCCAAATGCAAGAGTTGTTGGATAAAGGCTTTATCCGCCCAAGTGCGTCTCCATGGGGAGAGCCAGTATTATTCGTGAGAAAAAAAGATGGATCATTGAGGTTATGCATTGACTACAGACAGTTAAATCAGGTGACCATTAAGAACCAGTACCCACTACCAAGGATAGACGACCTGTTTGATCAGTCACAAGGAGCATCGATATTTTCTAAGATCGACTTGAGAACGGGGTACCACCAATTGAGGATTAAGAAGGAGGATATACCAAAAACGGCATTCAGGACAAGATATGGACACTATGAGTTTACAGTAATGCCGTTCGGATTGACTAATGCCCCTGCTTCCTTTATAGATTTGATGAATAGGGTATTCAAAGAATTTCTGGATCAATTTATAATCATGTTCATAGACGATATCCTAGTGTATTCGAAGAGTTCCGCCGAGCATGAGTTACATTTGGAAAAAGTCGTGCGGATCCTAAGGGAACACGCACTTTATGCTAAGTTCAGCAAGTGCGAATTCTGGCTCTATCGAGTGGCATTCTTAGGACATGTGGTATCCGGAGAAAGAATTGCGTTGGACCGGACAAAGATTGAAGCCATCACGAATTGGCCGAGGCCAACAACAGTGACCGGAGTTCGGAGCTTCTTAGGTCTAGCGGGTTATTACAGACGCTTCGTGGAAAGATTTTCGGCATTAGCGACACCGTTGACACGATTATTAAAGAAAGAAACGAGGTTTGAATGGACGGATAAGTGCGAAAGGAGCTTCCAAGAATTAAAACAGAGGTTGACGACCGCTCGAGTATTGACAATCTCGTTAGGTCCGGGAGGATATGAGATTTACAGTGACGCGTCGTTAAGAGGATTGGGATGCGTGCTAATGCAACACGAAAGAGTAGTGGCATACGCATCGCGACAATTGAGACCACGCGAGTAGAATTATCCGACGCATGACTTGGAGTTGGCCGCGATTATTTTCGCTCTTAAGATTTGGAGACACTACCTATGTGGGGAGAAATTTCAGATTTATACGGACCATCAAAGTTTAAGGTACTTGTTCTCCCAGAAGGAACTGAATATGAGACAGTGTCGTTGGATGGAACTCCTTAAGAACTATGACTGCGAGATTATGTATCATCCTGGAAAAGCCAACAAAGTAGCGGATGCACTGACCCGGAAATCGAGCATCGCGCATATGATGGTCAAGGAATGGACTCTGTTGAAGGGAGTTTGGGATTCGGAATTTAAGTTTGAAGTGAGTCATGTCTCAAGTCTTCTTGCAGCATTAAGGATTGAGCCAAAGATCCAGACTAAGATTAAGGTTTTACAGTCGACGGACCCGGAAATTCAGAAGATTCTGGGTATGGATGTCACAAAAGGGAAATCCGATTTTCAGGTATCCGAGGATGGGATTCTGAAGTTCCGCGGACGGTTGTGTGTGCCCGATGATGCAGAATTGAAGGAGGAGATTTTGTCTGAAGCACACCGTAGTAATTATAGTATTCACCCGGGTAGTATGAAGATGTATCAGAACTTACGATAGCATTATTGGTGGAACGACATGAAAAGGGATGTAGCCAAGCATGTGGCTAAGTATTTAACATGCCAACAAGTGAAGGCGCAACATTGCAAGCCGGGTAGAATGTTGCAGCCATTGAAAATCCCCGAGTGAAAATGGGAACACATCACGATGGACTTTGTCATGGGATTACCGAGGAGTCAGAGAGGCCATGATTCGATTTGGGTGGTAGTTGATCGATTGACAAAATCAGCGCATTTTCTGCTGGTGCGAAAGGATTTCGGCTTGGAAAGGTATGTCGATTTGTATGTGCGACACATAGTCCGTCTCCATGGAGTACCGGTGACGATCACTTCGGACCGTGATCCTAGTTTGTCGTCGCTTTTTGGAAAAGTCTTCATACGGCATTAGGAACGAGGTTACAGTTTAGCACGGCTTATCATCCTCAGACTGATGGCCAGTCTGAAAGGACAATTCAAACTTTGGAAGATATGTTGCAGGCATGTGTATTGGATTTTAAGGGCAGTTGGGAGGAACAGTTACATTTAGTAGACTTTGCCTATAATAATAGTTATCAGCAAAGTATCAGAATAATACCGTTTGAAGCATTGTTTGGCAGAGTTTGTAGGACGCCAGTGTGTTGGGACGGAGTTGGTGAAAGGAGTATCACAGGCCTATAATTGATTCAGCAGTTAGTCGAGGCAGTCAAGGTTATTCGGGACAAACTTAAGACCGCTCAAAGTTGCCAAAAGAATTATGCAGACCGGAGACGTAGGCCTTTGGAATTTCAACTGGGGGACCATATTTCCTGAAAGTATCGCCGATGAGAGGATTATCACGA